GTATCGATGCTGTTTAGGTGGACAAGATTTGACGAAACGCTAGGCGTCACAATCCCAGCAAGATTATGTTGTCTTCTTTGAGGGTCGGTGGGTATCACATGAGTTACTGGGCCGACAAACAAGCGAGATAAGGCCAGGGGTTGTATAGCCAGAGGGTGATCCGAAGGAATGAGATGTCTGGTAAACTGTATGTACTTCAGAGCTACCCAAGCGTCCGGATTGGGCTAAACTTGTATCAAGCTGTAGGTTGCCCAGTGGTTGGTATTCTGCAGACGCATCATTCAGTGTCTGGACTGTGGCGCTGAAAGTGCGATCACGTGGGTTCTGCGGTGAAATCATGATGTAGCATTGGTCTAGCTCAGGTGGGTCAAGCTTTCAAAGTAGGAGACGTAGCTTCTAGGAATCATATTGGCCGGCAAAACCCACTTTGAAGCAATCTTCGTAACACCTGAACCAACTATCGAGTCTCAGTGGCATCTGGATCGTGGTGAAATTCAGTGATGGTATCGGCGGTGCCACCAACTGAAGGTGCTATTAAAACTGGTGTAGTAGGTGATGATTCAGTATCAAAAATTTTGGATTGAGTTGTGATCTCGATAATCCTCATTTGTCATTCGAAGAATTTGCCCAAGTTCGAAGAGTCAATTTCCCAATATCCCATCGCCGCCACTGTTTTAATCCACGGTATAAAACGATACAATGCTCCGAAGCGATATTTGGTTGAAGTAAATATGCTTTCAATCCATCATCTTCTGGTGCCAATTGAATACCCAACTGAGAAGTCATTGTTCTATCGTTAACCGTATCGCATCGGAGGATTGTATCGTTATACACACCGCAGATAATAACAAAACTCTCGGCACAAGTACAAAAACCCGTCTGAATTCTATCAACAGACGCCATTTTTCGCAACACTATCATATGCCATTGTCAACTCTCTACCTCAACTTTATCGATTTTTGAAAAGACCTTCGACAGTGTCGACCGAGAAGTAATTTGGCAGGCAGCTGCTTTAACACTACGGTTTCAGTGCCACAAACCTTGTGCTGGACCGATGAAAAGAGATTAGAAGATTTGGATTGCACCGCTCATGATTTATGTCCAATGTCGCACAAAATCGAAGATCTACAGATAAAAACCAACAAGTTGATAGAAGAGGCAGAGAAGACGGGAGTTCCTTCAGGTGAACGTAGAGAAGACAGAGGTGATGAAGATACCCAACCAACAACAAGAGGCACCAATCACCATGAACGGGAGAAACCTAAAGGAAATAGCCTCTTTCACCTACCTAGGCAGCATCGTTTCAACTACAGGCAGCACAGGCACAGATGAAAATCTCAAAGCCAGCACCTGAAAAACAAGACAGGCCTTCGTTAACCTGAAACCAGTGTGGAGATTTAGTGCACTCAGAATAAAGTGTGAACGATATCCGGATTTTCAACACCAACGTCAAGTCAGTGCTTCTAAATGGTTCAGAAACTTGGCGCCTCACGAAAAGCATTTCAAACAAACTAGACATTCATCAACAGCTGTCTACGCTTGATAATGGAGATCAAATCAGAAGGCCAGAAAGAATAAACAACAAGGAACTCTGGCCGGGTAACGAACCAACCAAGAACCGATCGCTTAACAAATATGCACAAGAAAGCGCAGATGGATTAAGCATACACTGAGAAGACCGACTGGGGACATCACGCGTCAGACCCTCGAATGGAACCCAAATGGGAAACGACGAGCTGGGCACCAGAGGGTCATATAGAGGAGGTCGTATGAGGAAGAAATGAAAGCTTTCGGGGAGTGGTGGGGCCAGGTTCAAAAGACTGCAGAGAAGAGAGTGAAATGGCAACGTGCTACTGAAGCCGTTCTATTATATGCCCGTGAAACATGGCCGTTGAAGGTGGAAGACATGAAAAGGCTTCAAGTGTTTAACTACCCTTGTCTTTATAGCACCGGTCATATGTCGTGATGACAGTAACGTAGAAGTCAGACATGGAGTAGTTAGTGTATTAGGCAGAGGAGTGAAGTCAGTTGATGATGTTCTAAACCAACATCGATTCATGTGGCTCGGAAATGTGTCACACATGCTTAGTCACCAGTCACCTTGTCGTACAATATTGGTCGAAGTATGATGAGGCTGCATAGAGGTTGCAGCCGACCATACTAAAACATGACACCAGTCCCTGAAGTTTTCCACTGTTAGTCTAAACAGTGTAAGGAAACGTTGACTTCATAGGCAGAGTTCTGATGACAAGCGAAATCGGTAGTTAGAGACTCCTAGTGATATGGAGCAGAATCAATTTCAATGGTGCAAATGTATTCATACAGTGTCTTCTTCATAGTCGTCACACCAAACTACATTATCGTTTCGTTATTGGAATCAACTGGCAACTTTCAGATATTCCCACAAAATGTAACGGTAATAAAATTAAAAGTTTCAATGAATTTATTTCCGAAAGCTGTAGGACCATGTATGTATATATATATATATATATATATATATATATATATATATATATATATATATATATATATCGATACTCATATGTGCACGTTTCGAGGACATTACTCTTGAATTTAGAATTCAAGGGGGGTACTGTTGACGAAATTTTGGGAAACCGTATGGAAAGAGCAATTCGTAATACGTTACATGCAGTAAACCTCAGAATAACATATCACAGTCGCCCGCTAGTGCGCCTCACGGTGAAGGATATTTTACCGAGACTGGCCAGTACAATGTGCGTTTACCAATTCACCTGCTTCTGTAAAGTGAGGTATGTAGGTCGTTCGTCTTGGCCTATCCTTCACCGCATGCAAGAACATGCTTCAGTGTGGATTTAAGAGAAAAGAATACCAATCAACCTATCTGCTCTGCGACACAGTTTTGAAAACCTCATTCAATATTTACAAAATCCAACCAAACTTTCCTAAACTTTTGTCTCCACTTGCCATATATTGCAGAAGCCTAGGCAGTTCATGATTTGAAGCCAGAGCTAGGCATACAACAATTTGTTAAATCTCTTTGGTTAATTAATAAGGCGTGTGATTATCTCAAACACTGATTATTCTCTTGTCGATTTGTCTCAGATGTCTCCGGTTTTTATCTTAAATTTACTTTTTCACATCATTATTGTATCCCTTCTATTTACAATTCTTGATTATCAATGATATCGCACAAGTTTAGTTGAAACCTATCTTGTTAGAACATTGTTACTGCTACCATGTTTCGTTTAAATTAATGAATAACATTTGTTTTATAAATACTTCCCGTATGTCCCCACTTATTTTTTGCAAATTTTAGCCTACTGACAAAACCGTGTATCGATTTTTAAACACAACTCACTACCATTATATCTCGTCAAGAACAATGATATATATATACGCATATATATATATATGGTTGTACAGCTTTTGAAAGTAAATTCGTTGAAAACTATTTCCTTCGCTGAACTATTCGTTCTCAAATCCAACTGGCATATTGAGTACAATTCAATTTTTTTAATTGGCATGTCAAAGAATTCAGAAACCAGGCTAAAGAATATCGAGGACGGAGACCTGGTTAAATATGACCACAAAATCCTGAGAAACCACAGCCCCGCCTAAAAATATTGCTGTTTATTGAATAGATAGTACCTATACCTGTGTCAGCGAACACCAGGATGAGACATATGCAGTAACCAATAATTTTTAAGCGAGTACAGGAAACTGACAGTTTCTTAACTCTTATGTCAAGATCATGAGCCTGGGTTCTTGTTTGGCTTTACTAATTCTATGGGCATGGAATTCCTTTCTGCTTTTATGTGTCCAACCTATGGTGTCCAACCACCATTGCCTTAGTAGCATTAGCCGTGTTATGATCTCATCAAGTCAGTTATACTAAATTCGGGTGTGGAACTTTAGGGAGAGGAAAGTCAGTGGATAAAGTTGTGAACGTTCATCAGCTCATGTGGCAAGGACGTTGCACAGGCTTAATCATCGTCTGCCTTATCGTGCAATGTTAGCTGAAGTAGGTTCAGGCCGGAAATAAGCTAGAGGTGGTTAGACCAAATACTGGCACGTCCATGAAGTCTTCGATTGTTGGTCTGGGGCATGCAGCGAAATGCAGACTAGCAGATTGGGTCAGCATAACTACAGAAACCAAGGGTGGAGACTTTAGGTAATATGACTCAAAGTTGATGTCAGTAGCGCAAACACATCCACACATTATTTTCAATTTAATCGTCATACTGGATTTAGTGTTTTTCTATCCCTCCTTCCTGTCTCTCACTACTTTTTACCACTTTTAGCAGATTCTTTACTTATTTACCTTTTATCTTGGTGCTTAGTTGCTTAATGTTGATATGAAGTATGTCAACTAGAACCATTAAGCAGTAGTGCTTGGTTCTATGCTGGACCTGATGATGTGACTGTGTACGAGCTTTTCCTCTTCGTAGTTCGTAAACAGAGTTGAAAACACCATCGAGCTCCTGGAAAGATAGATAATTTTCTTCAATCCCTGCCTACATAATACCCTAAAGTTAGTTTGGACAGGGCAGCAAGCAAAGAAAAAGGTCACTGTTTGAAAAAAGGAGGGGGTCAATGTACACTTAAATTTAGCGTCAGCAGGAGCTAATGTGATAAAAAATTCAGCGTGGTCTGACAGAAGTTCTGAAGACAATGATGAAGATTTTGACAGTGACGGCCCTAAGCTGCCACCGAATGTGTGTCAAAGTCTGTCTTTGCAATCACTTCTTCGAAGTTTATGCTACCTAAAACTGCAGAAACTAAAGCCAAAACAATACCCTTGGTCGAACTGTAGGATAACGCGACCTATCATAGTGTATTCTGAGCCATTAGTTTCAAGAGTTCAAAAACATTAATTTAGAATCATATATATTAAGGCTTAGCTAAGCTTTAACATGACTGTCTATAGACAGTAATATCCACCCATCACAACAAAAACAGTGTAAAATGAAGAACAAATTCTAGTACTAATATCTACCCATCAAACAAACCACCATTACCTTTAATAGAAATGACACACCTCATCCCCAAAAATGGTTAACCGGTCTGACCTTGGAGCTCGAAAATGCAAGTGTACATTGGTCCAATACCCAATGTCTTTTAACGAGCTAATTTAAACCAGTTGATATTTACGTTTTCTCTTCTGGGTCTTGAAGAACGGTTCCAGGTCTCTAGTGAATTCCAGTGGAGAATGTCTACCCACTCAATTTTTGTAGATTTGATTAACCCGATTGCGGCTAAGTATTCCCAATGTCAAATATCTCAAACATCTTTTTACGAGCTAATGTAAGCCGATTGACTTCTTCGCACCCGCTTCTAGGTCCCGCAGAACGGTTCCAGGTCTTTGATGGACCTCGGTGAAGCAGGTCTATCCACTCGACTACCGTGGCTCCGGTCAGCCCGGCGGGCGATGCGTGTTGGTTAAATTTGTAGGGAGTACGTGTTGCTTTTCCCAAGGACTGTGGTGCAGATGGGTTCCTCAAGTGTCGCACCAGCAGATAACTGGTCGGACTGATTGTAAAGAGAAGGTAGAAAATATGTTCAGAGAAATCAAGGGAGATGAAGTGCAAATGAAAAACGATCAGGTGAAAGGAAACTGAACGGAAGAAGAAACATCGATAGATTCATGGGGGAGGGGTGATAGTAAGGGCTTTTATCAAATAGTATGAGAACATAAAGTCGGTAGCAGGGGAAGGAGCCAAGAACATTACAGGACGGCTTCTGGAAATAGAGATAGCAATACTGTTGGTAAATGGTAACTGGGGATGTCTACAGAGAAGTACAAGTTTGAGCCAGGTTGGCGACGACAGTGGCGTTACATAGCATTCGATAATGGGTTGATCGTGCTAAATTGTGCGGTTTAGTAGTTTGCATCAACCTAGTCCCCAGCCCAAACTGACGAGGACGAACCATGCGTCGATGCGCTGCTATCCAACCACTTCTTGAGGTCCCCGGCGGACGGAGCAGTAGTGATTTCGGCAGGCAGTGCAGAAAACTAGGAGGGGGCCGAAGTGTGAAGGTACGCGGGTTCTTTCCCGTCCACCAGTGATTCTCCTTAGGTCACCTCGAGAACTGTCACAGTAGCCGTTTGGTAGGATTCCACTCTTTGGGTCATTTAGATAATTAGAATCCCGCAAACTGTGGTAACTAAGAGATTAAAGCCTAGGCCCTTTCAATCTGTCCTCGCAGATTTTTCGCTGCATCCCCACTAAGCCCTTCCCTACTTGCCTCCGCGCGTCTGCTAGGAAGTTCAAGCGTGATGGCACAGTGACTGTGTGAACCTCTTTAAGGGCTCGTATACAAGTCTTGTACAGCCTCAAAAAGAGTTCCGGGGTGAGGGCGACTAGCATTCTGCGTACTGCACAGGCCTTGTAGGCATCCGCTAAATAAGTGAGGCAGGCATCCAGCCTGTCGGTTAGCACTAGTCCCCGGTCTTTCTCCCTGCTGGTGTGGGAAAGATGTTTACCGCAGACACAGTAAGATACCTTTGCCAGTCCATGGGGTGGAGACACATAGTCTGACATTTTTCCAGGCTAAATGCTAGTCCGTTATAATTCACACATTCTGCAAGCAACCTGAGATTAGTTTCTAGTGCACTTGGTTCTGTTTTGGCCGTAACAGCTCTCTATAACCCGACATCTTAAGTCTTATGTGTGACCAGGAAGCTGGGACACTGATATCCAATATCTTTCGATGAGGTACGGTAAAGGGATGGGTCTCGGGGTTCCGTTCTCTTTGTTAGGTGGCACCCTTTTCATGAACTTTGAGAAGCTGTCCTTCCTGCGATTGGCCCTAAGGGATGGGTTTCTGTGGTCTCCTCTTCCCCACATTTTGTGGTCTGGACAAGTGAAGCGACCACAGAGCTACTCGGTAAATCGGTGGCCTTTGCACATCTCCTGTCTGTCTAAGAGCCTAAGTTCATACTAGTTAGTATAAATCAGAAAACAGCCAAAAGCAGTCAATTGTATGATGGAAGGAGAAAAAAAATGAGGCCTAGGTACATGAAATTGAGCACCAATGAACAGTCGAGAATAAGGAAACAGTCTAGGGGTAATACCCAAATGCTTTGGTGGGCTATTAATGTCAGCGACTCCCTATACACTTCAGTAGTGAACCATTCGGGCTAATATGTCTATCCAACAATCTACTGAATGACTCCACTTTGTAGGCTGCAGCCCCTTCCCGCATTAAGGCACTCTACAGCATGCATACTCTTGGTATAAATGAGCTGGCCCTGGTTCTGGCAGCAGCCGCTCCTGCTGGTTCCCAATGTGTTTGTTGATCCCGAGATTGCAGTAACCGTTTGTTGATTTACTTGATGAACACCTATACGCTGTTATCATGTCACATCGTTTCATACGGTGTCTAAGGTGAACAACTTAGCCATCGAAGATACTCAGTGTAAGGTTTACCTCCTCGCCTAAAGAAGCTATTCGGCATCCCGGTGATTCACGCCGAGCCAGGCCTCCCCAATGGGGGTTGCTTAGAAGCCTAATCGTGTGCACTTCGTATGTCCGTTTTGTTCTGCAGCTCGCGGGCACTCGCATGCATGCATGTTCAGATCTTTCGAGTAGGGGCTGTGTTCTTCTCTGGGTTGTTACTTGGATGAGACTTAATGTACAAAGGTCACCGCTATCTACTAACACAGCAGCAGCGCACTTTTGGATGACCCTAGAGCCCGTTATCGCGATGATTGTGGTGTCGGTGGAGCGATGCTCACCAACCTGTTCGCTTGTTATGGTGAGAATACACTGTCATCCATGTCTTTTGTCCGTCTACTTGCCCGCTGGACCCGCACATGCCTTCAGAGCGCCTGGCCATACCACCCGTTTCGCTCTGCATGCTGCACCACACCTTGGGTGCAAAGCTGAGCCCTGCGAACTGGTCAAAGCCAACATCCCTAAACCTTAGGGTGGAGATGTCCCAAAGATATGTGGGCAGTAGTAACCTTGTAACAGTATCCAAAGTTCGTGTCGACTTCAAAAAAATGTGACACCTATGGACATAATCGGCTGTAAGATTTCATGCTATGAACGTCCAATCTTTCTTTTAAAAGCTTCAACCGATCTCGAAACAAACTGCTTCAATCAGTAGCCGTCTTAGACGACAAAACGTTACGAATCATTGACACCAATGAGTGAGTGATCTGATCAAATATGTTAAGCTTTAAAACGATATCCCCTTGGTTTAATGTCTCTATCGCGGAGGAACTAGCTCCTGAATCGTTATCTGTGATATGCTAGGCTAGGAGGTCTAGACGAAACCTACGTTTGGATAGTGTGAGTAAACTTCATCATTCTTACCACCCTCAGAAGCGAAGCAAATGAGGCGACTGATCATTTAAACGCCGCACTCTGAACTCCCTCTGACGAATAGGATCCAGGTTTTCAGGATGTGGTGTTTGCTTGAATACCATCTTTCCAGGGCGCTTTCATGCTTGTGTATGGCCCTAGAAGCATGACTTAACCAAAGCATAAGAAGGTCCTCCCGAAAACCGCCGTATTCAAAGTGCCATGGCAGCTAATACCTTTGGGCCTCCTCTAGTCGTAAGATCATGATCTAAGACGACTTTCGAACCCTTGGTCTCAGGGACGCCTGATGTTATTAGAACAGTAGTCACGCGATCATTCCATGGCCGACATGCATGATTTCGTTCTCAACTCCTAGTGATCTCCACCAACCATCTGACAGCTACGGAACAGACAAGGCAACCAAAACGTTGCGGCCACAACAAGGGTTGGATGTGTCATAATTAAAGGGGATCCCAAGAGATGAAAAAAATCCTTTTCAAATGATGGGGGCAGTTGACAGGAATCAGGCTGTACGATGGTCCACCGTTGGGAATCATCTGGCACTCAGAAGTTGTGGGACCGACTTGGGGTCAGTTTTCTATGTAAAGTGGATAGTTATGAGGGTAAGGCAACAAAATATTCAATTACGGCAGCCCTGAACGCCTGAAAGTAAGAACATGCGCTATATAGTGGAGTCAAGGTCGTCTACCTGGGTCTCCTCAGCTGAATGAACTTGCTACTCTGTGGGTGATGAATGTCTGAATAAATAAATAAATATTTTATTCCTAGGTCAGGAATTTAACATGGGGAAAGCTAGTTTATAGGCGCCACCAAATTGATGTGTGCTGAAGGCGTACAAGATTCTGTGTCCTGAATCGTACAGAAGGGAGGTCATTAAGTTCTATTAAAAACATCAGAAAATTCTACCAGTTGTGAAATGAACAAGGAAACAACTTTTTAGCATGTACAGAGAGTAAAAGCTCAAATAGTTTTCAGTCATAGTTTTTTCACCACCAGTGGGACTAAAATCGCGTAAAATTCCAAATTTCCGTTACAACTAGTCGTCATGTTTGACCGTCTTCATAATGCCACGTTACACCAGATGAACGTCTATTTGCCGCAAATTCCATTGCTGATAGCTTCAGAGACCACAAGGTCCCAATGTGACGATTTCGGAAATCAGTAAGTTTCCACGTAGTCATGTGATCCAAGTGAAAATCTCTGAGGAAGCGTTTCCAACCTTTCAGGTGTTACTGCTCACAGCAATATATATTCATGCCGAAGGAGCCAGCCGGAGGAAGGATGGGTTTTTAAAGCCTATGAAAGGGGTGCCATCTAACAAAGAGAGCGGAACCCTGGGACCTATCACTTTGCCATACCTGGTCGAAAGATATGGAATGTTAGTATCTCGGCTTCCTGGTTTATGGTTATTTCAAGGGATGGGAAGATGTAAGGCGTATAGTGGCACCTTCATGGGCTCATTACGCGGTGGGCAGCTTGTTTTTATGATTGTGTTTGTATTTTACCTTACTTTCGTCGGCATCATGGGTTTGTTGAAACCGCAACCAATCATTTGGAGACTTTAAGACTATATTACCGGCTATGAGGCATTCGGCGTCACCCTCAGAAACGTTTTTGCTCCCAGCGAAAGCCTGACGACCTCAGACAATGTTACGTTTTGAAGGTCTCTATTGTAGTTGTAATGATTTAAAAAATCCTCACTAGCACTCCATT